GATCGGGACGAACCTCAGAAGACGGTTCTGAAGCCTCTATATCCTCGATATCGACTACCTCGCTAGTTCTCGAACACATCAACGACCCATCGCTCAACGGCGCATCACATTCCATGCGCGGAGAGAAGTACAGGGATATTGATGACGACGACGAGCCTGATCAGGCGCGCGAGCGATTCGACATCGAAGAAGGGCGGTTCCAGGGCTCTACCACAGTGGATAAGAAGGCAAGACGGCTGCTATGGATTATTGGAACAATATGCGTTCTAGGATGGAGCCTAGCACTGGTGTCTTTCTTGATGAATGGCAACTACAAGCCTGCATCCACCCGTCCGCACGACCCCTTGGCCAGCGTTACCAAAGGTTCCGGGAAGAAGATTACAATGGATCAAGTGCTCGGTGGCCAGTTCTGGCCTAAACGCGAGAGTGTGTCGTGGATTGCTGGGCCAAACGGGGAAGATGGCCTGTTGCTTGAGAAGGGTGTTGGCAACGCAGAATATCTGGTTGTTGAGGACGTGAGGGCAAAGGTTGATGTTGGAGCAGCTGGGAGCAAGACTACGTTGATGCAGAAGAACAGCTTTGAGGTCGCTGGGAATTACGTCTACCCTAGTGATGTCTGGCCTAGCCGCGACTTCAAGAAAGTGTTGGTCATGTCAGATCGCGAGAAGAATTGGAGACACTCTTACACGGGTCTGTATTGGATATTCGATGTTGAGACACAGACGGCCGAGCCACTGGATCCAGAGAATCCTCGCAGCAGGGTCCAGTTGGCATCCCTGTCACCCCAGTCCGATGCCGTCGTGTTCACCAGAGACAACAATATGTTCTTACGAAAGCTGAACTCGAAGAAAGTGATTCAGATCACGAAAGACGGTGGATCTGAACTGTTCTACGGCATACCGGACTGGGTCTACGAGGAAGAGGTTTTTCAAGGTAACAGCGCAACATGGTGGTCAGAAGACGGCAAGTACATTGCTTTTCTGCGGACTGACGAGTCTACGGTGCCTACATTCCCGGTGCAGTACTTCGTCTCGCGGCCAAGTGGGGAGAAACCCAAACCTGGAGAGGAGAACTACCCAGAAGTCCGCGACATCAAATACCCCAAAGCTGGCGCCCCTAACCCTATTGTCTCGCTACAATTTTATGATGTCGGAAAGAACGATGTATTCAGTGTCAAAATCGAAGATGATTTTGCAGACGACAACCGTCTCATCACCGAGATTGTCTGGGCGGGCAAGACTCAGCAAGTACTAGTCAGAGAGACCAACCGGGAAAGCGATGTCTTGAAGCTCGTTCTCATGGATGTAGAGAGGCGCTCTGGAAAGACCGTGAGGACCGAGAACGTAGCAGAGCTCGATGGAGGCTGGTTCGAGGTCTCACAGAAGACTACATTCGTGCATGCTGATCCTGAAAATGGGCGCCCATACGATGGATATATCGACACTATCATTCAGGACGGCTATGATCACATTGGATACTTCACACCTCTGGACAGCGATAAGCCGATTGTGCTCACCCAGGGCGAGTGGGAAGTGGTTGAAGCGCCATCTCGGGTGGATTTGAAGAACAACCTTGTTTACTACATATCTACGGAGAAGAGTTCGATTGAGCGACACGCTTACTCCGTCTTTCTGAACGGCACTGGAAAGAGGGAAGTCATTGCTGACAGTGGTTCTGGTTATTACGAAGCATCCTTTTCGGCCGGTGGCTCGTACGCTTTGATGAGTTATATGGGTCCTGGCATCCCGTGGCAGAAGATTATCAGTACGCCATCAAACAAAGAGAAATACGAAAAGGTACTGGAGGAAAATAAGGCGCTCGAGCGCTTCGTACGTCAGCACGAAGTTCCCATTCTCAAATATCAGACCATAGATGTTGATGGCTTTACACTAAATGTCCTCGAACGTCGCCCACCTCATTTCAACGAGAAGAAGAAGTACCCAGTTTTATTCTACCAGTACAGCGGACCTGGCTCACAGCAGGTTGCCAAACAGTTCAAGGTCGATTTCCAGTCTTACATTGCTGCCAGCCTTGGGTATATCGTCGTCACAGTTGATGGGCGAGGAACAGGTTTCTTGGGTCGCAAGCTGCGTTGTATTACCAGGGGCAACATTGGTTACTATGAGGCACATGACCAGATCGCTGCAGCCAAAATCTGGGCGGCAAAGAAGTATGTTGATAAAGAGAGGCTGGCGATCTGGGGCTGGAGTTATGGTGGATTCAACACATTGAAAACGCTTGAACAAGACGCTGGAGAAACATTCAAGTACGGCATGGCTGTTGCACCGGTGACGGATTGGAGATACTATGGTGAGATTTTGCTTGTTTGATTCTAGCATTCTATTGCTAACAACTTGTTTTCAGACTCCATCTATACTGAACGCTACATGCACACACCTCAAAATAACCTAGAGGGCTACGACAACTCCTCGATTTCTGACGTACAATCGCTTGCCAAGAACGTTCGTTTCCTCGTCATGCACGGTGTCGCCGACGACAATGTCCACATGCAGAACACGCTCACTTTACTTGACCGACTAGACCTGGCAGGCATCGAAAACTATGATGTCCATGTGTTTCCAGACTCGGATCATAGCATTTATTTCCACAACGCGAACAGGATCGTCTATGACAGTAAGTGAAAGATCCGATTTGATATGACTGGCAAAAGGTATCTTTACTAATACTGCGGACAGAGTTGAGGAATTGGCTTGTCAACGCGTTCAATGGCGAGTGGTTAAGGATAGAGAATGTAGTACCGAAAGCCCAGGTTGAAGGACGATCGATAGGACGGTAGTTCTGGCTACTCCAGGGCGTTAGCGTAGCGATTGCATTGCCTTTATCAGGCTTTCCATACAAATACCTTTAATCACTGTTACATTACGACCAAGCCCACTTTGTGCATATGTGACTTGCGCTGCGCATTTAGCTCTGCAAAACCTACAGCGATTGTGCGGATAGTATAGAACATAACTGCGTCATTACAATATATGTAAGCTTGACTGTAACTAAGCGACTCCTCAATTTAGCAAGACGAACTAAATGTCATCACAATGGCAGCTACAGCGTCTCTGCGTAAACATCCGCCTGTTCATGTCCACCCCTCCGCAAGAAGATCTTCATGCTTTCCAAGACTTGCGCCTTGAGATCGGGCCTCGACACATTCTGGCCCGCAAAGCCACCGTAGGTGCTGTCAAAGTCGAAGGGTTTCAGGGACTTCCATATACCGTGAATTTTAGAAGGGGGAAGGGGTATCACTAGCCAAGTCAGTATGGACGCAAGGGTGACAGAGAAAAGTGATATCTAAGAGGATGAGAGGATAGGAGAGAATTGACTTACTATTTGGATACGCCCACATAAAGGAGTATGTGGTGGTGTTAGGAAGGCGTTTGGCATTGTTGAATCCAGACTGTATATCAATTAGTCTCACCGGCCCATGGTTTCGATTATCAAGACAGGGTAAATTTACAGGAACACTCATCATTGTATCAGCAATGAACAACTTCTTGTCCCAAAGCAAGAATGAACTCCCATCAAAATGTCCACCAGCTTGGATTGCCGTCACCCCAGGCACAATCTCATTCACACCGTTGATCAGCTTCCTCCATCCTTCCTTATCCTCGCGGTTGAGCCACTCCTCGTCATCTTTGTTCGTGTATACCGGACACTGGAAGATCTTGGCCCATTCCAGGTGCGTGGTGTAGAAGTGCGGATGACTGATGACAATGGCCTTTAGACCGCCCTTTTGATTGATGAAGTCAATAGTAGGTTGATCGAGGAAGGCGACTAAATCCCAAAGTACATTCCCAGAGTCAGTCTGCAAAAGGATCGCGCGCTGGCCGATGCCGAGTTGCTTGCGGGTTGTTGAGGAATCAGATAGACCGGGTGGAAGTTCGGCAGGGGTCAATGGCTTGGTGCTAATGTAGTGAATTCGCGAGTCATGCTCATCGGTTTCAAAGGTATTCTTTTGGAGGTCTATTTCTTTTTTGAGAGAGGTCCAGGATTGGCCTGAGGCGGGGACGTATTGGCGAGGATCCTGGGAAGTGTTAGTTGTAACGTTTCTGTCAAAGAGGGTTGGTTTTGATATAACGGGTAACGCACATCACAGATACGACAAGTCTCCGGATGCTTCGCTAAAGGAACATCGAATTGTGTTCCACAAGTCTCACAGACTGCTAGGTCACTAGGTTCGAATGCCATGTTGTATGATTTTGGGAAAACTAAGTTGATACTGAGGACGTGATGTGTCTATATTTGAAGCTTTCTAAGGCAGCAGCCCCATGTCGTGTTTATGTATTTAGTAAAGTGGGGTCAGAGAGGGGAGCTTTGGAGCTCTCTCGATGAGGATAGCTCAGATGTCGGAATCTAGCCGCCTCATAGCTTACCAACTCGGAATGCGAAGTAAGCGAACAGCCAGATACGCGAGACCGAAGGTCTGGATCGGGTTGATTATATGCAAAGTCTAAATGTTGCTATTCTACAAAACCTGCGAATAAGAAACCTCTGTGCGTAGAAGCCGATCCGTAAGCGCCATGCTCATCATGTCGATCCGTGTCTACGCTTCGGACTTCAATAATAGTGTGTTGGAAGAAATCTAGCGCCTGTCATGATCTGCGTAGAGTTGAAAGAAAAACAGAAACACGGTGATATGTCATGAAGCTTGAATTGGTTATGCTAGAGAGCCTCCAAGGATCCAGACCTCGCCATTAGCCACCTTGTCAGCTATGCTCGTCACTTCGACATCGCCCGGTTGGATCTATAATTTGGTCAGCCTGCTGTACAGAGAAACAAAAAGAGCAACGCAGAGGTAGCTGACAAGGCCAAGGAAATCAATATGTGAGAACTTTCGAGCAAGGCACTGTTGCCGCACTAGAAGCAGAGAAGAAGAGAAGCAATTCTGTCTAGACCCGATATTGAGAGTCCAAGGCCCACGTGACCATCCTTTCATCCGCGGCACCAAAAAAAAGAACCTGGGGTATCTGTCTAAGACAGACGAATGCTGATGAGAGTGGGACTCGAACCCACGCCACTTTCGTGACCAGGAAACTACAGCGGAGGATATCCGTGTTGTGTTGCTAAGGGGGGACCTTAACCTGGCGCCATAACCAACTCGGCCATCTCACCAAATTGGATAATTGATGAGTAATGCAGAAGGTAGACGAAATATGTATGTGAAGTTGGAATGTTGAAATGAAAGAATTTTGCTTGCGGTGGGTGCTGGGTGGGTCCCACGGCAAGCAAAAGACTACCGAGATGAATCGATTTGACTTACCCTCTTCTGGCCGTCTTTGCTTTCCCACCAGACTTCGTTACCGGCAAGCGTCTTGACCTTCTTGCCTTCTGCCCAAGGGCTTTCTGGTACGATATGGCGTTGGACGAAGCGCTCGAGATTCTTGCGTGCACGGTCTTCTCCGCTGCTTCCATCGTATGCCTTTGCGCCAAAAGACTCGTAGTCTTCTGGGTCTTCCCATGGTTTCCGCTTCAAGCTGCGCATAACACTGTTGTCTGGTGCCAGCACCGTTGCGTTTTGCGCAGCATCGTTCAAGCGTCCTGAAACATCGTCGATATCTCTGGTGAGCCCGCTGAAGATGGCAATATTCTGTGTCTTCCCTATAACGTCCGATATGATGACACCGGTCGACACTTGGCCTTCTGGCTTACTCATAATGTACTCTCGGAGCGGCGACTGCTCGCTGAGCAGGTTGAAGGACCTGATGATGCTGTCAAAGGGCCTGGACTCTGCGGAGCAGGCAAGAATCAGGCAGATGGTAGCCAACGGGTATGCGACAATGGGTCCGGGCTTCATGGTCGTTCAGAAAGTACGCATAGGGCGTTGTGGTAGGTGTAAGTTGGTTGCGCCGTTTGGAGGTGGGACCCAGAGACGTCATGCCGCGGTGGAGCCAAGACCTCGTGACCGCGTGAATGATCGACAGGCGTCGGCCTGAACTTCGTGAACTTTCACCGCACAGCTCTTCCACTCATGCATTCCCCAAAGTGATGCACCGCGCCCGTGAGCGCTTCTTCACACCTTCTTTCCGGTGACTAAGGCCTTGATCATGGCGCTACAAATGCCAAATGTGACCATTGTAAGTTCCCCCTCGCCGAGATTGCATTCACATACTAATTTGGCAGGATGACCTCCGCGACTTTCATGTAAAGCACTTCCCACACACGCCTGTGCCGGAAAATTTTCTGCATGGCGTTGAGACCGAAGCTGCCGAGGAGTACTACGAGGAAGAAGACGACGGTCTAGGGTACTATCCGGACGGCAAGAAGCGTACCCTCACCGATGAGCAAATTGCCATGTTTCGGCACTCTGAGATTCAAAGTATTCTTCGCAAACGGAGATTACGACTAGAAGACGGCGAGATCTCCGAAGACGAATTTGCCGCAACGGGCCTGTCCTGCACAACTCCATCCACTTCTGACGCAACTACTCCTCACGAACCACCTGCAGTGCCAACACCCAAGAACTTGGATAAAGTCCAAGCAGGCCGCGTAGAGAAGCCGAAGCAGCAGCAGTGGGCGACAAGCAGTGCGAGGACTAAGGCAAAGAACAAAAGGAACCGAGACAAATACAAGGCAAAGAAGAAGGGGTTGAGAATACAGAAAGATATCGCAAAGAGAAACGCCCGTCACGGTGAAGATGATGACGAGAGCGATGAGTGGGACCCCTGGCACCAGGCAAACGGTCCTGATGTGCAAAGGGACAATACACTAGATCTGGACTACTGAACTTGACATGAGCGACATGTCCAATACTTCGCCACATCTCTGGTCAACTCGGTTCGTGCAGCGCGGGAAGACGATAGGCGGGCCTTATGGCATCCCCTTACATAACATATTTTCAGCTGTAGGTCTCCCCCATGCCCCTTTCCTTAGACATGCAATGACGAAAACTTCGTTATCGTCATCCTTAGGCGGAGACAGCACCGGGCTTGAGTTGCGGGTGAATGACCGCTTGCGGCCTGATCCTTCGATTCGTCTAGGGCTTTCACTGACGAGTAAAAAATCTTCTCTCTGATTGCATCCTTGTTGTTCAATAGTTTCACACTTCAATTTCGAAGGGTCAAGGTTAACATCCCAGACAGTGAATCGGCCCCACTTAGGTCGGTACGCTTTACCTTTCAAGCATGTTCACGGACGCAATTCTGCTCTCCATGAACACAAACCAAGTTGGAGCAGCGAGGAGGTGAATGCCGTGAGGGATTACCCACAGTCACCTAGCCTTGAAAGTGTAGAGGAATCTGGGAGATTTCGGCCCTTCCGGTTTGGGTAGTGTCAGCGCACCATTTCACACACTTAGTGTGTTGTCAATGTAGCTTCCTAAACTCCTGTCTAATTTTCCACGTTAACAAAGGTGTCCAAACCTATCGCAAGGGACGTGAACGATATTTTTCAGTTCCTGTGCTCCATTTCACGCTCGAAGCAAGCCTTGTACCACCTTCCCCTGCCCGTCAACACCTCGCTTTCATTTCACTCTCGTGGAAGGTTTGCACTGGGCGTGTGTTCCCAATTTGGCTCGCATCGACCACCCTGCATGTCTCCCACTGGTGTCATCCTTCCTCGAACCACTCCACACCAAGCACAGCAACCATCCACTCAACTCCCACTTGCGCAGTCATGGCCTCTAGGAAGTTTGACAATAACAACACAGCCAGGGCAAAAAACAAAATGGCCACCAAGAGCAGCATTGGCAAGCCCGTCAAGCGACCTGCGCGCGGATATCACAAGTTCAGGAATGGACTGCTCAATGTGACGCCCAAGGGAAGCGAGAAGCAACTGTGAGTATTTCTGCCATCAATTTGTACATGCAAGCGGCCAACTGATACGCTTGAACAGCACCAGGAGCAATCGAAGCTCGCCGTTGCTACGTCTGCCAGCAGAGATTCGGAACCGCATCTGGGAATTCGTTCTCGGGGGAAAGGTGTACAGAGCCAAATGCATGTTCCGACCATTTAGGGCCAAGCTATCTATCTCCTTGATGGAGCCACCCAATGCTATGGCGATACTCCGAACTTGTCGTCAAATCTATGCGGAAGCCGCTCTTATGCCATTGTCTCTTAACATCTTCTCCTTCGATTGCTATGACACGGCGCGAATGCTTATAAAACGTCTCAAGATGTATAAATCGAAGCGGATCACTTCCCTTCGATTTGACCTACGCGGAAGGAGGGATATCGATTACCCGGGTCATTTCAATCCCTTTCCTCCCCACAGGCTACAGCCCCTGTTCCAGTTACTTCCAGCACTGAAAGAGCTGCGAGTGCGCGCTTTCAACGTGCCGACTGCGGAGACACTTGACTTCGATGGCTATGCGAGCCCTTTGCGCAAAGAACTCGAAGAAGCTTTCCCAGGCCATACGATCGACCTCATCTTTGAGCGGAGGGCGGATTTATATGACGTTTACAACAAGAAGTACGTACTAATAGACCTCGAAGTATTGAAAGCCGAGCTGACATATGACAGTTGGATGTACAGCGACGATGAAGATGATGACTAGCCGTACTCACAGGTTGCGTAGCTATTCGCAATGGCCATGTACATTAGGATTGGGGTTGCTTACTGCTCGGAGGGGTTTGATACAGTTTTGAGCTTTGTTAAAGGGATTAATCTGCCAAAGAGCCGCAGTGCCAGACGCGCCTTGGTTGTTTCGGTCACATAAAGCCTCCCTCCTTCATTGGTCGATTTAGATTTGTATATTAGTTTGATATCCTCACTTGCCCGTTATGAATTACTTCAAAAAGCTGCTACATAGTTTCAAACCCATCCAGAATATGCAATCTGTCTTCTAGAACATGCGAGTGTTGACAGGGTTGTTTTACGTATGCAATCTCACCTTCACCGTTGTTTGTACACTCAGGCCTGCCGCTCTCACTTCGGTTCTTGGCTGCTTCAATTATCTACTCTTCTTGCTTCATCACTCGCCCTCTTATTATCATACCTGCTTTCTCCGAAACTCAATTTGATACGGGATACTTGTATCTTCTACTACATACCAACGCCTTACCAACACAATTGAAGGCTCCACCATGGCGCCCCGAAAGCCAAGCGCAAGGAATTCGTGTGGAGCAAACTTGTCAAAGACAACCACTGCAGCCGGAATCGCAAAGCATCATTGCAAAAAGCTGCGATTCTTCGAAAATGGGCTGCTCGACGTTACCAGGAAAGGTGGCAAATACTTCAAAATGTATGTAAATGGCTCGAACAGCTGAGGACCGTTCACTAACGCGCTACAGTGCGAGACAGAATCAGCGCGAGTCGCCCTTGCTTCGCCTGCCGCCTGAGATACGCAACCAGATTTTCGAAATTGTACTCGGCGGGAGAGTGTTCGAGCTTGAAGGACCATCCTGTGAAAATCCTAACTTCGTTGAGAGATCACAACACGTCCTAGCATTGCTCGCAGTATGTCGTCAGATCTACGCAGAAACTTCACTTCTACCATTCAAGCTCAACACATTCTCCGCTTGGAATTTTTCTAAACTCAACGATTGTCTCAACAGGATGATGAAACAGGCTCATGTCGATTTGATTACTTACATACAACTCAAGTCCCATACCGTCGTCCAACCGTACCTGAGCTTGGAGACCCAAACACTTCTGACTTCGCTTTTAGTACTCCAGCTTAGGATGGGACTTCTGCACCAGCCACTTATTGAACTCAAGTCCCTTCGTCATGTTCATGTACTTGTGGAATTCGGTACCTCTTTCTGTGAAGGGACACATGTGCCGACGTGCGCTTCTGGATATTCTGAGAGATGGCTGAAAGAGATGATTCAATCTACAAGACCAGGCGTTGAAGTCACTATACAAACAGCAGTGTACGCAAATCCCACTGGAGCGATTGGAAACAGTCGCTAGAGAGCTGGTAATTCCGATGAGCTGTCACCGAATGACCGACTATCAAAATATCCCCGCCTTCGTCGAAATGCGCGAAGAATCTGGAAAAATATTACCAGAGGATGAAAGTATATATCCTGATGATCTCTTGCTTTCATGGGTAATGCTAACCCACTTGAATAGCAAGTCTATTCCTGGTAGTGCCTGGAAGGACCGAGGTCAAGAATTTGGCTGCGGCAATATCTCACCTAGAAATGGTATCATTCAGCTGACGTGGGGGGCTT